AAATTATTTTTACCGTAATAACATAAATCGTTAAAAACCACTCTGCACAGATTGCCCTTATGTTCGTCACAATAACAAGAAACATTATTTTTATTGTTTGTTTGTATTTCATGTCTTGGCACGTTACAGAAATGATGCTATTTCTTTTTTCTTTTTTTTTTTAAAATTCCACTTGTGTTGAAAATAGCATCCTGTGATGACACTCTAATGTCCTCCAGAATAGAGCGTGATTTCATTTCCCTAAAACTGGCCTCATTAAACGGCATCCTAATTGTCCTTCGCGAGAGCGTAGCAGCGTGAAGTGTGTTCAGGGCCCTCAGGAGCCAAGTGTGCTTTACAGCATTTGCACCAACACAGCAAGAATAAAGCGTACGATCCTTATTATTATTATTAATAAGATAAAACCCAGCAAGATGTAAAGCTGCTGTTTACACAACACGATCCGCTGTTACGGTTATATTATAGTGATGCTGCCTCACTGGAAAATGATGAGCACAATAAGCTCCAAGACATTTACAATGAGCAAAACGAGGTGTTTCTGCGTAAATACACAACATGTGAAATCATTTTCTTGTTTGTTTTTTTTAGCTTTATTTCAATGCAGCAGCAGCATCCCAAGAATTTGAGTTCAGAGAGTTCATCTGTGGTGCCACCTCAGCACACACACACACACACACACTAATTCCTACACAAGTGTCGCGATTCAACGACTGTTCTCACATTCACGTGTGATAAAAACTTGTTGATGTGGAGGGAAAAAAAAAGTTGTGATGAGAGTGTGAGTGAAGATTTACAACATTTGATTAAGCTCAGTTTGATTTTAATGAATTAAAAAGGTCAAAAAATTTCAACTTAAAACCAATGATGCTGTCATTTGAAACTTGCTCAGTGAGTGTGTGTCGTCTCCCTGCCTCCCCCTGAACTTGGTCGCCCCCCCTAGACGCCTTAAAAAATATGTAGGCTCAACCCACCAGCGCTCACAGAGGAGCAAGTTGAGGGTAAAGGGGGGGTTTGTTATGATGGAGTCAGGAGGAGGAGGAGGAGGAGGAGGAGGAGGAGGGGGTCGCTGCATTAAAAAGTCCGAGAACTTGGAGCCTAGTTTGTCATGCTAACTGCAGCGATGCCATTGAATGTGGACGCAGGGAGCAGAAGGTTCACAGGACCCCGGCCATTCTCATGCAAAGTCTGTCAGAGCCTTATCCTCCGTCCGTCCACCCACCACACACCCACCCAGCTCTCCCTCCCTCCCCCCCCCCAACACCCTCCACATCTCCTGCAGAAGAAATACATACATGTTTATAAATGTGCACACACTCACCCAAGGCAGGGATGGGTGCACTCATTCTTTACACATGCCACGAGTGCAGAAACGTGAAGTTACATGGACACACAATGATGGAGGCATTTGAGAAAAAAATAAAAAAGCATCTCACGAATAAGATTGCTGATTTGGAAATTCTTGATTTTACAACCTTCTCATTTGCAAAATGGATAAAAACATGTTATATTCTGAATAAGGAAGGTGTAAAAGAACAATTTCAAACATTTTTTTATGCGTTTACCACCTTGTAATGTACATTTATGTGTGTGTGAGAGCAGAAAATATTTTTAAAAACGGACAGAAAACGAATGCAGTTGCATGTTTAATGCCATCATAATTAATACTGCATTTATTTTGAAGGAATAAAACCACCATAGTTCACTTTAATCTCTAACTTCCTATGACCTTGACACTACCTTGACAGGCAGCAGCATAAAATTGACCTCATTTCCCGCCTGATTGTGAAAAAAAATCCACATTTAAAAAAAACAACAACAAATAAAAAAAGGCTTCTATTTAAATTTCTATTTTGGCATCTCTCTATTAAATCAGCCTGATTCTTATTTGTGGCCCCGCCGCTGTGGGCTGCACCTCTCATCTGTTTCACCTGATCCACAGATTGGAGGAAGCTACAACTCATTTGGCGTTGAATCCGCTTAAATGCCAAGCGGTGGAAATGTCAGGCGCCGTACAAGCGCATGCACCTATGCATTTACTCTCTTTAAATGCAAACACTCCATGCAAATGAATGCGTTAACCGCCTGTGGGCTTGAAACAGTGAGTGGAGGTAACAAGCACTCCTGTGTATATATATGTGTGTGTGTGTAGGTGCCCAGATTTATGTGCTCAGATTTATGCGTACTATAGTTTCACACCCAGGGATTGAAGGAGTCTCCATTTGTATGTGTGTATGTGTGTGTGAAAGTGTGTGTTTGTGCCCCCTCATCTGCACTTGGAGCAGCCGTTTGGAGCCTGTATTTGATTGAGTGAAGGCCAACGCAGCCTGAACACTCCCTCTAATGGAAGAGTGGAGCCCAGCAGCTCAGTAATGCACTGACCCCAGAGCTTTTACAACGCTGCCAGCCGATAAGTGGCAATATGCTGGATCTTATAAAATTAACAAGACTGAGCTATGGCGGAGAGGGGAGCTCGGAGAGGATGACAATCCTATAGCACTTGTAAATATCAGCGTGCGCGCGTGGAGCGGCCGCCGCTCGAGTTTTACGGTCACGACGGCGTGATTAGCAATTATTTTTTTTTCCTTCTTCTGACCGGTTTCTTGGCTTTTTTAAGGGGAACTTTACGGGGGAAACGTTTACAGGCCCGTTTATGCTAGATAAAACATCCCTCAAGGCATTTTAATGCCAGTGAATTTATGAAAGCTGCCTCGGGAGCCCGGGTGCTCGGGAGGCGAGCGGGCCTTCAAAGTGACTGGATCCCGGCCAGCGTGGCTTCTGCAGGGGTGCGAACATGTGTGTATGTGTTTACCATACATTCCCTAAGCTGAGCCGGAGCTCCACGGCGTAAGCTCAAAGTCAAACAGCTCCCGTGTCTGGTTTCGCAGCACCTATTGTGCGAGGAGGGCCTCATCCCACCAGTTTTTAATTTGCGTCGAAATACATGTGGAATGACAACACATCCACGTCTGATTCAGCTCCAAGAAACCTTTTATTCCTCCCAGTGTAACCTCCTCACCTTTCTCACACCCTACCAGGCTGGGTATACGTGCGCGGGATTTTTTTTTGTGCATTTTCCATCCTATACTGTGCATTTATGTGCATGTGTGTGTGTGTGTGTGTGTGAAAGCTGCTATTGTCTGCCAGTGCTCCAGCAGGCGCTTCAAAGTGAATTATTCATGCGAGATTTGAATACATGCAAATGGTTCACTCCCCTCTTGCTGGCACAGATCCAGGTTACCTATGGCAACGGCGCCTTCAAGAAGCATCCTTCCATCCCTCCTCCTCCTCCTCCTCCTCCTCCTCCTCCTCCTACTCCTGCTCCTCTCAGAGCACCCGCCCTCCGACCATGTTATCCACCCAGTCGTATTGTTTCGACTGTTGCAATACCAGGCTGGGTGGCTGCACACTGTAGGGTGGCAGGATATCCCATAATTCACAGTCAAGGTCATAGAAGCAGGAGAAGGAGGGGGGAGGAGGAGGAGGAGGAGGATGAGAGATGGAGGGTGGGCAGATGGAAGGAGGGCAGCATCCCTCCATCCAGCTGCTTGGATGGGAAGTTCAGGAGGCGACACTCAGAAGAAGAAGAAGAAGAAGAAGAAGAAGCAGTTTGAGGTGGTGAATAATGCGACAGAAACGCTCGCATACAATTCAGATTTACTCACAGCTCATGCGCACTCACCAGTGCAGTAAAACAGGGTAAGACGAGGAAAGAAGGTTTGAATTATTATCACCCATACATGCTGTGTGTTGTAATATATTTAAAGCCAAATCAGATTTCTGTTAATTATAAAAAGATATTGTAAGCTTATAAGATAGTAATAAACACACATGTGGCATTTATCTGGAATACTTTCATTTTGACATTTTGATATTAGGTTTTGGATGATGATGTGTGTGTAGCTGCTTCAGTGTTGCTTATTATATTTGTTAAAGGTGTTAAAATACAATACGTGTGACTGACATTCTTAATAAATAAACATGTTGCTGAAAATAATTTTTGCATGTTTGTTTCTAACTGCTGCCTGTTTCTGGTCATTTTTTCTCAAATGTGTGATGACATGCTTTTTTAAAATGAACTGTTTTGTTATAGAGTTCTTATAAATCATCCCAAAATAAAAGCATTAATAGTATTTATAATGTTATAATTAAATAGAGCATGAATCTTATTTTTTATCATTTCATTTCATACGACTTGGCCGTTTGTACATTTAGCACAGCGCTGGCATTATATGTGCATAAAAAAAAATATAATACACACACTACATAGATAATTTAGACGATGTCCGAGTGCATAATTAGCCTTTGTGGCGTTTTGCAGTGCAAATTCATCAATTTCGTTTTGCAAAAAAAATCACTTTCACACACAAAAAGCAGTAAAAAAATAAAATAATAAAGTAGCAGAAATTGCATATTGAAGGATTTGAAAACAACAGCAGCAAAAATGAGTTTTTAAGAAAATTAAAAAATAAAAGAGTCTCTGTGAGCAGAGGGCAGGTCAAGTTCAGGCCACGAGGTGATCAGAGCCTAAATAACCTCCATAATGGTTCAGGATGCACAAGAGAGTGCAGCTGCTCAATGCTGCCATCTACTGGAAGTGAAGGGACGAGTGGCCTCTCACGCATGTGGGTCAGAAATGATGGATGAAGTTGATCTGTATACATATAGATACATGCAGGAATTTAACATGTTTATATGTGAAATATTGTTTATTATTATTTACTTATATTTTAAGTCTCATTCAAATCTCTGAAATCGGCCCAAAACACAATCAACAAATCTCAATTTCATGAGACGAATGTCATTAAACGCACATTTTTTTAAAATGAAAACTCATTGCAGTGGGTACACCACTAAACATGAAAGATTTTTTGAGCAGCCAGTAACAACCTGCTGTAACCATCCCGCTCCAACGCTCATTTCACCTTTAAGCTCGCTCCTTCATGTTGCTGCTAGCTTTACTTATCACACGGCTCCCTCAAGTGGACAAAAGGATTCATTGCTCAGGGTTGTGAATGAACATTTTATTGCAAGGCCAGTCATGTTTGAAACAACCGTAAACTTACATCTTTGGATATACTGTATCACTGAAACGTACATTGTGAGAGAAAGTTTGATTCCTCCGTATTTCACAGATGGCTGAGTTAAGTGAGTTAGCGGTTTTAGATTTTTTTTTTTTAGAGTAAAGAATGCCTCACAATCATGTAAAAGCAACCAGAGAATGTGCACGATTATGTGAGCACAGCAAAAATCTCAATAATATTCACATAAACCAAAATCTGTATTATATATATATGTATTTATATATATATGTTTTATTGGGATCCACTTCTCAGACATCATAAGGACTCCATTCCCACATGTCAGTGCTGGATGGACAGTGAAACTGTGCAGTCCTGCTGACATGACCACCCTCATACAATCATTTACTCCATCAGTATCAATTCAATCCATTATTGGCACCATGATAAACTCAACATTTAAACAAACAAAAAAAAAGGACTGAAAAATCACCTTTTATATACAAACTACACCCTGCATCATCAGGCTATTTAACGGAAGTAAAAAGTAAGCACTATTATCGAAACAAAAATAAAATTTCTCTGCAAATGAAAAGATTTGAAACTCATTGAATCGATGCAGGATTGAACTGAAAGAACACTGCAGGTCGAGTAAAGTGCAAGCATCACGTTATCAACACAAAATCCTCCATATCGATCCATCAAACACAAAACTGGCTTCCTCTGATGTTTACCATCTAAGTGACACTGATAGTACCATGATTTCACAATAAAGCTCTGATTGACAAATTAAAAACACGCCTCCTTTGTCTCTTCACTTTCTCCAACAGAGAATTTTTGACTGTGCGTTTGCAAAAAGTTTGAGATTCTGCGTTTTTCTGCGTGCGTGCGCAAACACACCTCCCGTCCACTCATTCGCTCCTCTGACATCCCGTCTGAAGAGGACAGGACCGTGCAGCAGGACCGTCCCGCAGATTCATTATTGCCGGACTCGACCACCTCCCTCGTGCCAGTCTCGTCAGCGCTTTCCGTCGCCCCCCCTCCGTCGCCGCCGCACCGTTCAGTGGACGAAGCAGTCCATCTGATGCAGCTTGAGCAGAAGGCCGTGCGTGATGTCGAATGTGGTGAAGCTGATCCCCACCGCAACGGGGCCTTTCACCCAGTTCATGCTCAGGCCTTTGTACAGTCCACGTACGACTCCCTCCTGGGTCACGATCTCGCGCATGGTCCCCAGAATTGTGCCGTACCGCGAGCCGGTGACGCCGGCTGTCTGCATGCGCCGGCGCACCACGTCCAGGGGGTACGAAGCCGACTGTCCGATCAGGCCTGCGCAGGCACCGAAGGCCAAACGCTCATAGGGGTAGGGTTGGGATCGCTTTGTCTTTTCTGTGGTGAGACGTACGACAAGAAAACAACGAGTTAAACATTAGGACGAGACATTAACAGAACACAAGAAGTACTAGGGATCGATAGAAGGGAATCTGACAATAATAACTAGGCTTCTTCATGAATAAGGGAGACTATAATTGAATATGTAAAACAGAAATAGGACGGATTAAATAGGACACGTTCCTCTGTTTATGTAGGATCGACTGAGATCAAGCAGTTTGTCTGCTTCAGTTACGTCTCCTGTTCTTCTGTTTTCTTAATCTTTCACTGATCTATCCAGATCTTAAAGGATTATTAATTATTGTTTTCCAGACTCTGTTTCAGGTTAATCTGTGACTGCCACCCTATTTAGCTACTAGCCGTTAGCCACTGTGAGAGGAGCTAATTTCCTGGTTCGTGGCGGTTTTTGCAGTCTCTGCTCGAGACACATTTCTAAGACCACAGAGTGACAACAGGCAGAGAAAAGTGGCTTCATCTGCACCTTTAATTTATCAATAATCAGTCAATAATTACAGATACGATCATCAGGAAAATGCCAAATATCGGCCACAATAATCGGCCATGCTGATAATCCCTAATAAGCACTACTGGTCAGTACCTGCATGTAGCTTTTTGAGGGTCTCGTAGGTGAAGAATGTGATTCCTGCATATGGGATGACACCCAGGATAGTCGGGGTGAAGCCTCTGTAGAGCGTCTTCACACCTTCCTCTTGGGAGATCCGCGCAAACACATGCAAGATGTTGCTGTACCTGTTGGGGAGAAACACACCATAGGGAGGATGTTATTCACCAAACTGTGGCAACGGTTAGGAACTGCACTGATTCATTTTAGTGTAAAGGCGAGACAGCATCTGTACTGCCGTCTCTTGGATCGTGCTGGAAGGTGTTCTGGTTGTGACACAGGAGATGGGCTCTTACATTTCCTTGGCGGTGACGGCCATCCTGGCTCGCACCATGTCCAAAGGATAGGTGAGCATAGCAGCAGTCGTGCCGGCCAGAGATCCAGCCAGGAAACGTGGGAAAGGAGGCAGCGCTCTAAAACAAACGAGATAATAGTTTGTACTATGTACCAAAAAAACACACAAACTTTATTTTTGCTGATTAAGAAACATACAAGCACGTGTTAGCAGCTCTCTGTACTTTGGCACTGTGCTGCTTTGAGCTAAACGCTAACATCATGAACACACAGTGACAATCAGAGCCTGACCGACATATCAGTTGCAATATTATCAACAATTATTAGCCTGTAATATACAGTCGTCCTCAAATGTATTCATACCCTCCCAGTAAAGAAGGAAATAAGCAGCTGTCACTGAAAAAAATGGAACAATAAATAAAAATGTAATGAAAATCATGACATTGTTTTTGAATTGTGGTTCAACAGAAATGTATATATTTTTTAAAAACAACAACAAAAAACAAACAAACAAGCAAACAAGCATGATGGGACCCATAAACTAATATTTTGTTGAACAACCCTTTGAGCCAATCACTGCAATCAAGTGTTTTCTGTAACTCTCAGACTTCTGCACCTGTTGACAGCTATTTGGATTTCACTGCTTATCAGCAAAGTGCTCTAATTTTTCTGGGACATATTTGTTTGTTTTTTTAAATTATTATTTTCAACAACAATTCACAAGCAATTTGTTATTTCACGAAATTATAATTTAGCAAATTTTTATTTATTATTACTTTTTTCAGTTTCTAGTTATTTGAGTGACTATTGTGAATTTTGCCTTTTCTTTAATAGAAGGGTATGAATACATATGAGGACGACTGCATGTATATTAGTATAGGTGTATGTTGTTCGATATAAAGTAATATTAAACGTGTCTTTTAAAGAACATAACAGAAAAAAAACTGTTGGAGTGATTTAGAAACGGTGTCATCAGATATTTTGTCCAGTAGAGCAGCTCAGTCTCTAGTGCTATGTCTGTAACTATCCTCTCTGCAGCACATGCAGCAGAGTACAGCTGAGCAAATGGTGCTGCTGCTGCTAGAAAATGAATAAACAATGACCCAATCCTTTTTCATTTTCGATAGAACTCTGTCATATTTACAATCTATCATTTACCATCTTATTTAGCATGTTAGCGTGCTAACACCTGCTAATTAACGCTACACAGAAAGTGCAGCTGAGGGTGATGGGAGCGTCAGTTTATGAGGTAGCTGGTCAAAGATCAAAGTATGGGACTGAACTTTTTATCTAATGACGACTTCATCAGAGTCAATCTAATAGCTTATAAAACTGTTACAAAACAGTTGTGTCGAAGGTTGTCCAGTTATTTCAGTGGTTAACAAACTGACTGACCAACGAACCAAATATATATATGAAGTGCTTATTTGCCAAAACAGATAACTCCATCTTCACAAACCTTCAGAAAACTCACTTTTCCATCGTCTACCTGAGACAACATCAATCAAACTTAACTTATCTCTATTTTTGTCATTTCTACTGAGTCAAATTCACTCAACTTCAGTTTGATTGATATTATCTCAAGAAAACAACAAAAAAAATGAGTTTCCTGAAAATCTACACAAATGGAGTCATCTGTTTTCACAAATGAACTCTTGACAGAAATCAAACATGCATACAAGTTCCCTTTTGGATAAAGTTTCGAGGTCAGGGCTGGATCAGGTAATAATTACATTGAACGGAAGCACTGAGAGTAGAGACTCTTTTCTCTTTCACTTTGCAAGCATTTATGTGTCACTATTGCAAATCATTAACTTTGTGTCTTCTCTCTCCTGTAGTCAGTTTTCGTCTTCTCTTCAGCTATCTGCGGCTCTGATCGTTTGTGATCTGCGATTTCCGGCTTCACCAACCGTCTGTGAATAAAATTCTTTACTCACTTTCCCTGGTAGCCGTAGTAGCTCCCCAGAAGTCTTTTGTACTGATCGTGTGAGCAGAACTGGATGGCGGCGTATGGCATGACCCTCACCATGGTGGCAGAGTTGCCCCTCCACAGACTGAGCAGCCCATCCTTCACGTATGTACAGTAGATAAGCCTGAACGCCTCCTGTGTAGGGACAGCGGGTTAGAAACAGAGGAAACGGCCTTCCATGTGTTCTACATGTTCAACTCAGCGGCCCTACACGATGTAGAGTACAATACTGCATAAAGTTCATAAGACTGACTGCGTGTGTAAATATACAACAATGTTAAATCAACTTGATACAGGTCAGATTGTTGTTATTGGGATGCATTTGTTTTTTAAAATTCATCAATTAGCAATTAAAATACAATCTGCAGCACAGAATGACAAGAAGTCACCTCTCATTGTACTAAATATTCAAGAGTACAATCATGCATAAAGTTCACAAGATCCCCTGTGTGTGTTAATGTGTAAATGAGGGTTTGTACAACATGTACTACAGCAGAAATCAACTCAATTCAAGCTAGGGTATTTTGGTATTGAATCATTTACTATTTTTCGAAAAACAATTAACAGTTACTATATTAGCTATAACCCATAGTGACAAACATTTCAGTGTACTCGACCCTCATGTGAATTCTTCAAATAATTCATTTTATATGTATTTTTACGTTCTGGCAGACAAAAATATTCACTTGATGATGTTTTAAAACGAATGAAAGCCGATCGCAGGAAGCCGTGACTATCACATGTTTTGCGTTTCTGCTTATCGCTGAGGCCTCATATTCAATTGCGTAAATCTGCAATTTATCAGTTCCTGTCTTGCTGATAAGACAAACTGGACTCACCTGAGCAGAGAATCTCTTTGAAGACACTGTAAGAAAAAAAAAAAAAAAACAAGGGACACAGTGAGCCGCCGGGTTAAACAACACACCCCCATGTAGGCTAAACATCCACTAAGAGGATTATCAGTTAGTTGGGAACATTTATAACAGTCTGGTGCAAACAGACAAACAGTTGTTGCATTTATTGTGGAATGTCAAACACATAACAGAAGCTAAGGCACTTACATGGAGACTATTTTTCTTTCTATATTTGGAAAACAAAGTTAATATGGGGTGTTGTTCTTGCCTTGGAAAATGATCTTGGTCCGATCCAGAGGTGCAATGACCGTTTTGGCCACAGCTCCGGCAAACGCACCGCAAAGCAGGGAGTCCACAGCGGTCAGCCTGGGCCTCAAGTCCTGATTGAAGGACGGATAGATGAAAATATTCAGTTATCAACTCGCCTACACTGGCTATGTTTTGTTGTGGACGAGAAAAGGGACAAAAGTTTAATCATTTATCTGTGTTTTTGTGCCTATCTGACCCTCGCCAATGTGTAACACAAGCGCCACATGTTTATCAGCACTAACGCTCCCCGTGCGTCTCCGTCAGCAAAAGTTGCTGCAGCTGAACAAATGTTCACGTGCAACAGAGCCACGCAGACGGAGAACAACAAGAAACTCTCATTTTATGGTGGAAAAGCTGTTTGGGTGTGTTTGGAGATGAACACTCTTTAAGTGGCACAGCTGAACCCAGTAAACACTCCCACGGACTGATAAGAGGAGCGCCTGGCATGAGAGAAAACAAACACATTTCACAACTTAACCTAGAACGGAGAAGTTTTGGATTCCATTCATTTCCATTTGTAATTAGGTCACTGAGGTCGGCTGCACACAACTAAAACCTGCACTCGTGTCTCAGAATCGTCTTAATGTCGGTGTTCAGAGAGGATGAATCAATAAATTATTAGAATTGAAATATGCTCTGATGTTTTATAATCATGTGAAACTAGTGTAAACATCTGCCCTTGTGGAGGACCAGCTACGACTACTGCACTGCTGGGGAACAGGAAGGCCAGCTTTGGATTAGCTGGCACCTCGCTGCTATTTACAGACATGTACCAGCACAGGCATGTCCTTCCAAAGCATGTTGAGTACCAGGAAGGCTGAACTGTATGTCACAATAACAACAACCCTCCAGAGCACTGAGCAGAGCCTCAGTTACACAGGAAGGAGGTTAAATACAAAAAAATACTGTCTTTTTTCTTTCTTTTTTTGGATACACTGTTACTATGCACACCATCGTAAACACTAAATTATATAATAAGCCTTCATTAATCCCACAGCGGGGGACTTTGCATGGTGACGGCAGCAAACGTTTGAGAAATATCAACAGAAAAATAAAAAATAAACCTGAAACTAAACCGAAAATATAGTTTAGATTGGTTCAACTGGATGTGGAAATGACAATATTGCACATGAGGAGAAAAATACAAATATTGCACAGATTCATGTATGTAGAATAGAATAGAATAGAATAGAATGCCATTATTGTCACTATATACATGTACAATGAGATTGAGAGCAGCTCCTTCAGTGCCATATAGAATAAAGTACAAAATAAAGAGCAAAAAAATGAAAAATAGAAGAGATTTAAGTACAAAATAAGATAAGTTATATATACAGTATACAGTATAAGTTATGTGTAGACAAACTGATGTTGCACTGAGTTTGTATGCATTCAAAATAGTCACAATTTGCAGCTTTTATTTGTTTATTTTTTTGATATTGCACCAAATGTCATGACATACAGCTGAAAGGCAGGATTTTTTTAATTTGTATTTTTTTATGAGGCTTTGATCTGCAGCCACAGATTTAAAAAAAAAAAAAAATGCAAATCACACCCATAAACCTGCCCAAACAAGTTCTAATAGTGAATCATCCTCACATGACCACAACATGTAAAGAGGAACGAGGCTCACCTTTGCTTGGCTGGATGCGGGCAGAGTCAGCACGGAGGCCTGGGCCACTGGCAGGCGGCTCTGGTGGTCGTGGACACTGTGGGCCATGTGTGCGCCCTTCACAGGTTAACCGAGGCTGCAGCAGCACGACACCCAGTCACTCATGCAAGGGAAAGCAGCAACAAACCCGCTGCGGAGGGGAAAACACACACTTTATTAAACACAGCAACAACAACAACAACGACCCACTCCTGGCGACGCAGCGGCTTTTCTGTGGCGTCTGGATCGGGTACGTGATTGCACGCACGCCCAGTGTTCCCACCTCCCCTCCACACACACACACACACACACACACACACACACAAACAGGCTTCTTTTGTAAACAGCAGTAAACAGATGATCAATGCTGCACACCACCAAATATTCATCTGGACCCCTCAGCAACTTGTCGGTTATGTAAAACTAATGGGGGCAGGCGATGACTTACATAAATAAAGGATAAATAAATCATAGTCAGAGGGAATAAACATGCATCTAATTGTGCAGTGATCACTTGGTGTGTGTGTGTGTGTGTGTGTGTGTTACCTTCGTTTGGGGGTTTTAAAAAAATAAAAATCTTCTAAAATCTTCGACGTTTTTCAGTCAGTCTGTCCTGTCCTGCAGCTACTTGCACACATTTCTTGAAGGCTGTAACTTGTGCTCCTGTCTGCGCCTTCTCCTTGTTGTTGTTGACGCCTGTGAGGCTGATTTCTGCGGACAGGTGTGGATCTGCGGCGGAGAGGCTCGTCTGTTTTTAGACGGCGGCCTGCGAGGAAACTCTGCTCGGTTCTGCTCCTCCGCTTTGACGCACAAGACTATTTGGGCTTTCCAAGGTCTTAAGGAAAACTGGGGCAGCGTATGTCACTGTTTTGGACTACAGTACCCACAAAGCTAATCCCGTTGTTGTGGCACTAATCTCGCGAGATTATCCGCAACATTGGGTTGCCAGGTTTGGTCAGCGTATTTAACAAGGAGAGTTTTGTATGTGTTCTTTTTCACTTTTAAATGGATTAAATTGTTTCAAGCTAACGGTTATTTTCATTACATATTTCTTGTATATTTTTTTTTTACTTTATATAATCCAAGGTAACATCTTCAATCATGTCACTGTTGTTTTTATAGCATATTTAAAGTGCAGAAATAGCCCTGGCATTGCAAATTTATCAAACAAGATTGGGTATTAAGGTTAAGACCCTACAATATTGTTATTGTTATATGCACATTTAACAGGCTAATTGAAATATTAATGTTAAGACTTTATAATATTATATATAATACAAATAAACTTACTAACTGCTAACTTAAGATATGATAAGATGAAATAAGGTAAGACAGAACTGTATTAATCCCAAAAGAAAACTCTGTAAAAGCATTAAAAACATGAAAGAATGTCCAAAGCCACATTTTTCTACTGAGAACTAAAATAGATGGCTACTTTGGTTGACAATAAAGTGCATAATCTAGCAAAAAAAAAGAAAGAAAAAAAAGTGAAAACTCTGAGTGGCTGTCATCTGAGACATCGCTGGAAGTATTATAAAAACTGTTAAATGTTAAGGTTAAGAACCTACATTATTATATCCTCGAACAAATCATCCAATTAATGTAAAATTAAGGTTAAGACCCTACAAAATTATACGTATAAAACCTAACAACTCCAAAGATTCCCTTTGAGCAGCCGTATTGGTGACAGTGGGGAAGAAGAAACCTCTGGCAGAACCAGGATCAGGTAGAACAGCTGTCTGCCTCGACCAGTTGAGGTGAAGATGAAGGGAAGAGAGAAAACTACAGCAGTGACAAACAGGCGGATACAAACAAGAGAACATACATAGTGGACAGATTTGTCCACTAGAGAGAGGACAAAGCACAAAGTTAATAATACTAATGCTATAGTGCAAATAAAGAAAGCGACAAGAAGCATAAACACATGTTAAGACAACTATATGATACTGTCAACCAAAACCACCCTGGAAAGTGAAGTTAGTCTCCAGGGTACAGTAATAAAATTATTTACCTCCTACCTGGAAGATGGAACCATCTCAGGAACAATAGGCAAGAAAAACCTAACAAATTATTGGGTTTGTCCACCATGTTGTGTTTTCATCTGTCAGTTTAATGCCTTGTTTCGCAACTTGGATTTTGCACGGTGGTCCAGAAATAAAGATATTTATTAGATTAGATTCAGTTCAAATGTGTTGCCATTGCGCAATACAAGTAATAAGACAACAAAATGCAGCTTAGCGTCTAAGCACATAAGAAGCAGCAATATACAGATGGGTATGTGCAATATGTCACAGTTTAAACAGGATGGTATGATCATGCTAAGCATAGTAAATAGGTGTTGATAACAACATAAGGATAGATAAATGGCGGTATGAACAGCATGTGATATGAGCAGTAAATACACAGGATGAGCAGTGGATCCCATAATAGATATTATATTATGATCAATTATACTTTTATTATCCTTTTACCATCGTAATTGTGTGTCAAACATGATGAAATGTTTACTAAAAAAGTGATTAACAAGGATAAATAAGGCTTTGGATACGTCATTTGTGGGTTCTACGTGACCGAACCTGGCAACCCGCGAGTCTGGCCATAGCGCTGAAAAACTTGTTGTTGTCTGGGAAAATGGCGTCAAACGTAGAGGCCCCGGAGCGCTGGTACCTCGCCCTTCTCGGCTTTGCGGAGCATTTCCGAACCTCCAGTCCGCCCAAAATACGACTCTGCGTGCACTGCCTACAGGCCGTGTTTCAGTTTAAGCCCCCGCAGAGGATCGAGGCTCGGACACATCTCCAGCTGGGCTCGGTTCTCTACCACCACACCAAGAACAGCGAGCTGGCCCGCAACCACCTGGAGAAAGCGGTGAGGGACGGTCGAAGTAGGAAAGAGCGGGGATGCTGCGGAGAAGCGGACGGGTGTAGGCCGCACGCAGCGAAAACAGCGAACGGCGCAAGTCTTTAAATTGCCGTTCACTGGGGGACAATAAATTTGTAAAGAGGTTATAAAATGTAATATTTTAGCGTGTTATTTACTCAGCTGTTTGTTAGTAATTCGGACCGAGTCGGGGACTTTCGTTCTTTCTGTGGTGCTAGCCAAATAAGCTACTGTATGGGATTATTGTTGGTTCAAAATAATAGCAGCTGTGACGCCGCCAACATTTTGTGTGGTTTGTTTTGCAGTGGTATATATCCCAGCAAGTTCCTCAATTCGAAGATGTCAAGTTTGAAGCTGCCAGCATTTTGTCAGAACTCTTCTGCCAACAGGTAAGACATTTTAATTAACGACAATGTAATTATATTGCTTGCTGAGGGGGATAACTTTAGCTACATGCGTTCATGTCCTATCAAAGTAAAGTCAAATCCACAAGATACTGCAGTACGTGGGTTACGTGGTGATGGTATTTATTATCCACAATCAGCTAATTGATTGAATTGATTTTTTTTTGGTCATTCTGTGTCCTTTTATTGATCCTTTTATGAGCCACGTCAAATCTGTAACTAAATCCCTCTACTGGCATCTTAAAAACAAACCAAAACAGAGAAAAAAATAAGATTTATTACAACTAATGTATGCTTTTATTGCTTGTAGAGTTGACTACAGTAATGCACTCTTTACTGACCTCCCTAAATAGGCTATTAGACAGTTACAACTTGTTCTAATTCTGCTTGCTAGAATACTGACGAACACATAAAAGAGAAATCAGTCTGATGTAGATTCCTACATGCACATTAAATTAAAGGTTCCACTTCTTGTCTATAAGTCTTAATGGTCTGGATCTAAAATATATTGGAGACACATTTGTTGAGTACAAGCCTTGCAGGTTTCTGAGATCTGCAGGGACTGATTAGTTAATGGTGCCCAGAGTTCAGACCATACAAGGTGAAATTGTCTTTAGTCGTTGTGGTGCCCGCTGCTGGCACCAGCTCCCCCTGTAACTTAGATTTGTCAGAACATTTTACGCTTAAACCAGTTCCTTTTTCTACTGGTTTCAGTTTTATTTTATTTTATAGTATATGATATTTTTTAGGCAACCATTTTCAATTTTTATTTTGCAAAATTTGTGCACACTTGATTCCCCCTTTATCTATTTAGTACATTTAATTCTATGTATTTTGTTGTTTAGCTTATAAACTTTTTTTGTTCTTAACTTTTGCATGTAAAGCACTTTTAATAACCTCTGTGCGTGATTAGCATGTTGTTTTAAAACTCGCTTTTAATCAATTTTCAGAATCTGGTGGACTCTGCAAAACCCCTGCTGCGCAAAGCCATCCAGATTTCACAACAAACACCATACTGGCACTGCAGATTGTTGTTCCAGTTGGCGGTATGTACTATTGCAATAGTAGGAATGAATCACTGTAGGAGTGATGTTGTTTTGCTCATTAAGTTATTTTCATATCCAGGCCAAACGGTATTGGAGTTGCACAACTCTGGTGGCTAATCTCAGTGATCATTGCTCACAGTTAAACTAGATATTGCTGCAGTCCGGAGTTCATGTAAATCAGCAGAGGGGTCCCAAGGGATGACTGGGATTTTCTTTTTGTCTCTTTCAGCAACTTCATACACTGGAGAAAGACTTGGTGTCAGCATGTGACCTTCTAGGAGTTGGAGCTGAGTATGCTCGAGTCGTTGGCTCGGAATATACCAGGTAAATGTCACCCCCCGCTGCTTTGATGGCAAATTTAAGGCTTTTAGTTGATAGCGCCAGGCAGTTTAAATTATATTATACATGTCAATGAATCTGATGTGCACAAAAATAATACATTTGTAGACCGCGTAGAAGTACGAGTAATTTATGAGTCTCAATCTGGCCGTTACACCCTCTTCACCTGTTTGCATGGGAGGGGTTGCAATCGTCAGATCCGTCCCAAACCAGATAATTCTAAGCAAACTATGAAACTCTCAACAGCAAGTCAGCTTTGTTGCCATTTTCTGTTTAGCTGCTTTCTAGATTTAACTTGCTGAGAAAACTGCGTTTCCCTTAGATTGTCATACATTGTGTAGTTTGACACATCACATAATATTTAGTGAAATAAAGAAAAAAAGCCTCAAGATGTTCACTTCGCATAAAAATGAGTTTGTCATCTTGTTTGCAAATGCTGCTGAAACGATGTATTTGACTAGTTTGGAGTACTTGTTAACCTGGTATTTACTGACAATAATGTAACTGTAACGCAAAATGTTTTTTGTATTTACTGTGTGTAGAAAGTTCATATTTAAAAACTGACTGTGTGTTCTTTTTTTTTTTTGTAGGGCATTGTTTCTCCTTAGTAAAGGAATGGTGAGTCCTCTGTTCCGCTACACGCTACTAGCATAAACAGTTACAAAGCTTAGATTTAACAGTATGTAACACCTACATATACAACGGTAATACCACATTAGTTATGAAAAGCAAAAATAGCAGAAGTGTTTTATGTTAACTTTTAATTATGGTAATGTTTTCCAATCTTTTAGTTGCTGCTAATGGAGAGGAAGCTTGGGGAGGTGCATCCTCTCCTCACACTGTGCGGAACTATAGTGGAAAACTGGCAGGGAAACCCAATCCAGAAGGAGTCTCTGAGGGTCTTCTTCCTAGTGCTACAGGTCACACACTACCTGGATGCTGGGCAGGTAGGAAATCCAATTTAGAAGAGTTCGAATTAGGAAAATGGTTGCTTCTGCATGCTTTCATGTTGTAATTCTAGCAATATAGGAAGGATGTCTGTGTGTAAAAAGCTACCAGGAGGTAAAATCGGATTGCTCACCGTGTTTGTGTGCGTCCTCAGGTGAAGAGCGTGAAGCCATGTCTGAAGCAGCTGCAGCAGTGCATCCAGAC